TTAGAGCGGAGACTGAGAGCCAGGCCTTCTCGTCCAACATCAGTGTGCGACCTCACAAATGCGCTTCTGGAAGAATGGTCAAAAATTCCCATAAACACACTCCTAAACCTTGTGGACAGCCTTCCCAGAAGAGTTGAAGCTGTTCTAGCTGCAAAGGGTGGACCGACGTCATATTGAACCCTATGGATTAGGAACGGGATGTCACTTAAGCTCATATGTGAGTCAAGGCAGGTGAGCAAATACTTTTGGCAATATAGTGTATATTAAACACAATGTTTCTGCCAGACATAATTAAGCTAAATCCTTTTGGCTTTAAGACTTCCTGCCAAAGGAATTCAAATGTTAAGAAACATTATCTTAAATCAAAAAATCCTGCGCTTGTTCCTCTAACAGATTTCCCCTATTTTTATTTTTACTACACACTTAAATATTTAAGATTTACACAAAAGCTTTTCTATCAGAGAAAGTCAACAAAAATCTAACGTTTTTTCGGTTGATTATTTCAAATGAAGAAAAAAAAAAAAAAAAAAAACCAAACACAAAAATCAAACCAACTAATGCAGAGGTCTTCAACAGGGGGTCCGCGACCCCTAGGGGGTCCACAGAGGCACTGCATGGGGGTCACAAAAGTTTTGGTTGATTAGACTTTTTTTTTTTTTTTTTACTCACCCGTACAATTTTTTCAACTAATGTAAATGTCTTTAAATACACATCTACATGAATTCAACACACTGTAGTAAACACATCAATGGAGTGGAATAATTACTGAAGATGTCTTTCAGTCATCAATGCACATAAGATAATGATGATTAAATGTACTGGCCTGCATTTTAACTACGTGCCAGATGGGTAAAATGCAGACTAATGCATTTTGGCCGCACTTAAAAGGGAGTTTTCCCTCTCCACTGTAGCCACAAACATGCGTTTTCCTGTCCAAAGCCGATCATCGTAAGCTTCAGGAAGAACCGGCCTAAACGTGCTCCACTGCCCATCAACAGCTCAGCTGTAGAGGTGGTCAGCAGCACCAAATTCCTGACAACCTCACCTGGACTGTCAACACCACCTAACTGGGCAAAAGGGCAAAGAAGCTCTTGTAAGTCATGCAGAGGATGAGGAAAGCCCACCTGCCCCCACCCATTCTTACAACCTTCTAGACATAGGCGGATCTACTGGGGTGGCATAGGGTGGCAAATGCCACCCTAAATGACAGCCTTGCCACCCCTGCTGCCACCCCAGTTGGCGGTAGGGGTGGCAAGGCTTATAAATTATGGATCATTTGAGAATTACGACCGCTAATTTCCAATGTCGGACTGCAGTGAATGCAGCACGAGATGACGCGAGAGCGACTGAAGGCCCATTCATACCTCACGTAAAAGACGGATACGGATACGTGTGGAGTGTTTCATACGTTCTAACCGTCGATTTCGTCCGTACTTTGACACGAAAATTGGGAGCTTACGCTTACGAACGAAACGGATCAATACGGAGCAATACTACCGGAAACGGTGGGGGCGCTATTGAGTTTTTAGTACAAAATGTCAACAGAATCAGGTCTTGGACCATCGCCATGTTTTGATCAATGACGAATCATTGGCGCCCAGCATTGCCACCTAGAGGAAATACGGGTTATTGCGCACCTCAACGGACGGAGGTATGAAGGACTCAACGGATAGAACGTACGGACAGAAATACGGACGTGCAGGCCAAACGTGAGGTATGACTGATTGTTTTGAAAACCGAATGGAGCAAAGCGAGGCAGCCAGGGGTGATGGGGAGAGGAGACACGGGATGAAACAGGTAAAAATTGATTAACTATCTATCGAGAAATGAAATCATAATGAGAGCACAATGTTGCTAGCATAGCTGCAATGCTGATTTTGAGATGATAAAAATCAGGTTGCAGAACGTTATTTCTCTATTTATGATGTTAGTTAGGCCTGACGTCTCAGGCTCATAAAGACATATTGGCGGTCAACTATGACAGAAAAGAGACTGTTAAGTTTGGTTGTACTCAAATCAAAACGCACAAAGGCATTGGATCTAAATAAAGTTGTGAAGCGTTTTGCTGAGCAACATGGAAATCGCTGCATTCAGCTGTTATAGTCATGTTAACTTTATGTTATGCTCTCTGGTGAGCCTTTACAGAGCTGTTACATTTTGTTTTGGCACCTGAGAAAATCTGATATTTCCTTTAATAAAACCAAAAGTGTTAAAAGTTAAAAATGTGATATTGGTGTAAATCCTGCTTAATATGAAGCAGTGTTGTTGTTTCTTTTTTTGTATATATAGTATGAAGCTATACAGAAATGACCTGTATGAACCTACTCACAAGCAAAATGTATTTTTATGTTGCGTCTTTTCAGATTTGTGGAGATTTTGATGTAACATACAGAACCCGCCTTTTTGTTGATTTGTTGATACAGCAGTATGGAGGACCAACTCTGCCATATAAAAATAGTAAAAATACAAACAACAAATAAATGTAAGTAGAAATTAAATTATACAGCTAGTCATAAAGGTATATAACTCTTTTAATTGGCTTCTTATTTGTTGATTGTATTTTTGGTGGCAATTAATTGTATGCTTATTTATTTATTGAGCATTTATTTATTTCTGTATTTATTTTTAAATATGGCAGAGTTGGTCCTCCATATACAGCTCTATCTATAGCATATTTACATGCATGAAATGTCCCTTTCATGTTGCCTTAACTGCTGTATGTCAAGTTACTGAGGAACAAATGGGGTAAATGTGGGTTCAGAGTAAACATTACATAGATGTCTGGTACCTTGTTCGGGTGCCTTGACCCATTTATTTCTACTGTGTAGTTCTGCTCACTTTATTCCAGCTCAGTCCATAGATCTCTGATGGGAAACTTTTTCTTTCTATAGTTTCTTCTTGTGCAAATGCTGCAAAGCTGCCTCTCTGACAGTCAATCTCACACATCTGCGACTCAGCACCTGTGTCTTACCTTAATGCCTTTCCTGTCATAAGGCCCCTCTAGAAGTAGTGTTATCATTCTTCTATCTCCTATTAAGTGAGATCACATTGTACGATGTATTATTAATATGAACTGTTTCACATGAAACACCAAACTGTGATTAAATTCAGTGTAAACAAATGCCATATGTTGCCACCCCTAAAAAATTCCTGCCCCCCTCTTGCCACCCCATAAATATTTTTCTAGATCCGCCCCTGCTTCTAGAGAAGCACCATAGAGTTCACCCTGCTGCCCTCTGGGAAGAGGCTTTGCAGCATTCGATGCAGGTCCAGCAGATTCAGCAACAGCTTTTTCCCCACTCTCATCAGACTGTTGAACTGTTGAGAAAACTCGAAATCAAGTCACAGACTCTGCATCACACCAAACTAAAATACTGCATTTTTGCACCATATATATTTAATACTCTGAACTTCCATATAAATGCATTTTTTTGACCATGTTTTTTCTCCCTCATTGTTTACATTTAGTCACTGCTGCACTTTATGGAATGGAAATGTTCTGAAAGCTGTACAAGACAAAATTTCTTTCCTTTTGTACAACTTTCATTGTCTTAGACCAGGGGTGTCAAAGTGGTTCCAGAAAGTGCCGTGTGGCTGCAGGCTTTCTTTCTAACCAAGCAAAAACACACCAGACCCCAGTCATCTCATCAAGTCATCATGTTAAGATTTGACTCACTTGATGAGATGACTGGAGTCTGGCGTGTTTTTGCTTGGTTGGAAAGAAAACCTGCAGCCACACGGCACTTTCTGGAACCACTTTGACACCCCTGTCTTAGACTTAGATAAAAGTAGTCTAAGTCTAAAAACAATATTACGCTACAGTACACAAACATTCGTCAAGCACTAGGACCAGGCAGAAAACCACAGCTCAAGCTGAAGCCTGCTTCCCTGAGTGTAGACCACCCACAAGCTCCTGATTGACCCACCATCTATTCTTGTGTGACTGGCTGTCACTGCTGACACTTCTGAGAAGCTCACTTTATAAAATTCTGATGTGCCACTGAATCTGTCTGTGAATGGTTGGTCAAACATGCTGAAGATAGTTATATTAAAAAATACATGGGTTTGAGGGATTGCTGTGGAGTCAATGAGTCAATGCAATCAACTGGTTTTACTTAGATAGAAAACTTTGTACCAATCTGACCGTAAGATCTGATTAAATTTTCACTGTAAAGTGCCTTGAGCTGCCATGTCTTTTGAATTGCTGCTATAAACATAAACTTAAATGAAAACTGAATCCCTTGAAGCACTAGTTTGGCACATCTAGGGAGTATTCTGGGGCTGCTGTTTTATTCAGAGACTGAGATGACAGTTTGTGGTTGTTTAATTCAATTCAATTCAATTCAGTTTATTTATATAGCGGCAATTCACAACACGTCATCTCAAGGCACTTTACAGTTCACCAGATCATACAGTCAAATTGATTCAAAGTTTTCTATCTAAGGAAAACCAATTGGTTGCATCAACTCATTGACTCAAATTCAATCCCTCACACTAAGCATGCTTGTAGCAACAGCGGAGAGGAAAAACTCAGTTTTAACAGGAAGAAACCTCCAGCAGAACCAGGCTTTGTGTGAGCGGCCATCTGGGTTTCAAGGAGACAGAAGCAGAGATACAAAAAGCAACTGTAAAAGGAGGCCAGGAAACACAAAGCCAGGCAGACGAGCTCCGAGCCAACTCCCGTGTCAAAGGATGAAGAGAGCACATCCAGCCAGTCACAGTCAGAGAAACAGGACTACATTGGAAAAAGGCTGACCTCCAACATCTATAAACAAGGGTGTTGATGGCACCAAGTAAACACTAGGGCACACTCTATTTTCTACCATTACTATTAATGGTTAGGGTTAATGCATGTATGATTGGGATAAAAAGGATCAATTGATAGGAGAAAAAAAAAAAAATCATACATCTACTTTTAATCACCGTTTTCCTTCTTTTCAGCAGGTGGCGCTGTTTAGTCCATTAACCCCGCAGCAGAGGAGGCGCGCACACAAAAGAGAGGGAGAGAGCATCAGCACCCTGCACACATTTCATTGTCCCAAGGCCAGGAAAGAGCAGGACACATCTAATCTTTTCAGAAACATCGCTTTAAGTCAAAAGATTATCTCTTCTTCATTTTATCCGGCTCATATCGTTCAGCAATGAAGCGGCAGTGTGAGCGCTGATCCACAGCGGCTTTGAGTGACACCTGCGCTCACTCCCTTTCACCGGTTCCCCTTTTTTCACAGCTTTTGTCTGGTACACCTCCGCAGTTTCCGACCAGCAGCGCAGGAGTGGACGAGGAAGAGGAGGAGGAGGAGAAGGGAAGAATAGCGGGGCGTACCTGGCGCCCGCAGCCGCTGGAACAGCCCGGATCGGCCGCTTTGGGAGTTCCAGTTCAACCGGCGCTTTGTGCAGTTTAAACGGGACACACACAGAAAAGTCCCCCAGATACATCAAACCACAAAGAGAACAAGTCATTTTGAAGGTGGTTTATTGAAGGTGAGATGAGGAGCCAAGCAGCAGAAGGGTTGAAGATGCGCCTCCCTGTGCTTGTGTGCGCTGTAGTGGGTTTCTGTGCGGCACCGGGCTTGGTATCCGGCGCAGACAGGAGCTGCGGGGACCTGCGACAGTTCTACACCGGGAAGGGTTTCACCCTGGAGGGAGTCCCTCAGACCGAGATTTCAGGTGAGTTATCAGAATTGCAATTATCTTTCGACTTTTTATGTTTTTTGAGTTATAAGAAACAGACATTTTATTGATAGTTTTATAAATCTATATAGTTTCTATAAATCTAATTTGCTTTAGTCTGTAAAAAATAAAAATGTTTAGATGCTGCAAAATTTTCATTACATAGGTTCCATAGACATGATACAGTGTTTCTATAAACAAAATGTACATTATGGATAAGATAAGATTAGGTAAGGTAAACTCATCTAAAAGCAAGTTTAACGTTACCCCCCTCTTGTTTTTGTTCTAAATAGCACCAGTTCATATACAGTACTACATTCTTTAGGCTCCTCTTAAGTGCCTTTAATGAGAATCACATTTAGGGCTTCCCCAGTCCATAACCTCTCTTGCACATCTCTATTGTAGTCTGCCCTTGGACTTTTATTGTCTGCTCAGAGCAGACTTGCTTTTAGGCGTCTTGGTGTATTTATCCATGGTGTTGATGCCTGCTCTGTAACATTTAGTGTAGAAAACATAATGGGACTAAAATAAACATCAACCAGGACTTAATTTCTGCTCATTTCAGTTAGATATCTACAGTATCCTTTGGAGGCTGCTGGTGGGACGAAATTGATGTTAAAATGTCCTTGTATTTGATTTGCATAAAGTAAGGGCTGCTCAATCACCTATCAAGGAAAAAAGCAATGATATGATTCTTTGTGATGCAACCTTTAAATAAAATTTATGTTCCACAGTTTTTGCACCTATATTAAAAGTAATACTAAATCAGCCTCCCTTGTATGTGACTGGGAATGGAGCAGGGTGAGGGGAAGTCCACCCAAGTGTCCAATTATATCAGTGGGAGGCACAGCACCAATTGCTCTCTAAAAAACCAATTGAAAACTGTACCCAGTGTGTGTTTCCTGGTTATGATCTTGCATGCTGATATTGTATTTCTGAGTGAGATGTGATATATTGTACAGCTCTGATAATAATTTCTACCCCGGTGACACTGAAAAGACTCTAGACTCATAAATCAGATCCAACCTAAGCTGCGGTTAATTTTACCAGGGAGAGAAATGGCTTTTAGATACTCCCATCTACCCTGCCATGTCAGTCAACTATTCACAGAGACAGGCAATAATGCATGTAATCAATCAGTCAATTTACCAGGCAGTCAAGCAATCAGTCAGCCTCAGAGCCCATCAATCTCCCATCACATTTCTAAGTCTCTTTTATTTATTTAGTTTTCTTCGATCGCTGCTGACCACAAATACCAACTAAAGTGTCTGTGAACGTTAATTCTCGTTCTACTTAAAGTTAATTTTATTTTGTCCAATTTGGCGCCTTTTGATTCTCAAAGGAAGGGACACAGGCGGTCATGAAAGACGAGGTGAGGCACTGTACATTCTGAAGGTCATCCCATGTTGTGTCAATGAAGAGGCTCTGGTATGGGCGTGTGAGTTATTAATATTGGATGTGCACGTACGTGTGGGTGTGTGAGGAAGACAGACAGCAGATAGATCTGAGCCCTCAGAGGTAGAGGGGGAGAAAAGGAAAAAGGGAGAAAACAACAGAGGCAGACAGGCAGGTTAACAGAGACAGAGCGTGTGAGTCATTGAAGGTCTTAGGCTGGGCTTCATGCAGGACACCAACACCATTTTTTTCCTCCTTCTCTATTAAGAAGTCATCTTCTATTGACTGGTGAAATACACAGGTTTTCAGTCTCTTGATCCTTTATAGTAGTTATTGAAGCAAAATCTCTCAGAACTCTTTGAAGCCAACATCAAGATAGGAACAAAGAAATATTTCTTCACAAGAAAAGCTCATATGTCTTACTAAATAATCCACAAATTAATATTAAATGAATATGAGTTCATATTAAGATAAAAAGTCTTGGGAGGAAGATGTGTTGGTTCTCAGAGATTTTAGAACGCATTCAAAGGTAACAGAAAGCATAATACTGTGTACTTTAAACTTTGATTTTGCAGGATTTTCTGGTATTTAATCAAAAAAAATAGCAAAAAGCATCAAAACGGAGATAGACAGGAATATTTTGACATGAACATAACTTTACCGGTTTCTACTAGACCTGAGCTCTATAGGACACCTTAAGGACACAACTAAAAATCTATGTGTGCAGCAAAAAGAGCCATAATGTTAGCTTTCGTGACCTCACAACCCCTCCATTCATTCCTGTTTAAACTAATTCTCTCAAACCTCACAATTAATGTGTAAAGCTAGAAATAAACAGCTAGCAGACAACATTGAATATCGTTTTGTTGAAAGAGAGGGAGTGTATAATTACAGGGATAATCTAAATTTCAAAATCTAAATAGCTTCCTCTACAGTCATGAAACTGAAATCAAAGGTGTGAAAGTGTGAACAAAACAACAGCTCTTTATTAAATTAAAGCAAGTTTCAAGAATGACGATGTTTAGAAAAATACTGAAGCTGGTTTTCTTAAAAGATATGCGGTGGAGGAAGGGTGGTGAACATCAATGATCAATGGTCACTCTACATCAGAGGTCATGGATTAGGACCCAACCTGATTTAAATATATATATATATATATATATATATATATATATATATATATATATATATATATATATATATATATATATATATATATATGTATATATATGCTTTAGTCCATTCATCCATCCTTCCATCCAATTAAAGTAAGGTCTGCACAAGGGATTCTCCTTTTCTGACATCTTTTTGGGATCCGGAATCAGACCATTAAAAAACGCTAAATATTGGCCGATAAATAACTGATTTTGAATCTCTTGGTCAGTTCTTTTATATGTACTTTTAGACACATTTCCTTTTGTGTTTGCAGTATTAAGGAACAAACTGAGCTCAAAACTCAAAAGTTTTCTATTGACACTTCATGCTGTTAACAGCATGGCAGAACAACTTTAGGTAATATGGGCATCGTTCTTCTTGCAGAATGTTTGCTGACGCGTGGTTCATAGGTATTGCTAGTCAATTGGTTAAGTGGCTTATAAATTTGGTTACAAGGTAAAGAAAAATCTCAGCAGTGGCCTAACCCCAAGAGTTTATATGTCTGCCTGTGGATTTATTTAATGACGCAATGCAGTCTCTGGCTTTATAAGCAAGTATTTAAGAATTAAATAAAGGCTGAGTTTGAATAAGTCTGTTCTGATTCATCAGCACAAAGTTCAAGGAGCTGTTAGCAGCAAAGCATTCTGCTTTACTTCAGTACATTTTTTTTATTATTTATCTATTAACATGTTTATATGAGTGTATTTGTGGCATTGTGAGATATTTTCATAGATTAGTCTGTCTACCACATGCAACAAGAAAATGTCTAAATGTTAGTTTTATTTCCTTTTTTTTTTTGACCTCGTAAGTACAAAAATTCTATTCTAGACTAAAACCCCAAACCAGTGCAAACCAGTGCATTTATAGATTAGTTCAACTCTTTTTCTTTGTGCAACAGAGCAAAAGTTCATCATTAGAATGCAGTGTTTGTCAATACCACTATAGGTCACATTAATAGAAAATGCTCTTCACATTTGTTAATGAGACCAAGAAGTAATCAAAATAGGGTAATATTCCAACTTTTTTTCCATGAGAAATCAATCAAAAATATTGGTGTGATTTTAAAGGCAGAAGCTCTATATTTCTACCCAAACTTTTTCTTGAGTCCCTATTCTTTTTAAGACCCGCCTCATATCTTTTGTCTCTTAGGTTTAGCACTATGAGAGGTTGAGAATAGATTCTTTCTTTTCTGCTGTCAGCTTGTCTGCCGTTGTGCCTGCAAGCGTTTTTAACACACATTGTCCCTTTTGCTTGGCCAATAGCCATAGACTAGCTCTTCCTATAGCGAAGGTGACAGTGAAAGCCAACACCTTCTCCAAGGAAGACATTTAGATTCACTTACACATGCTTTGTCTGTGTGAGCAAAAGCACACACCCATATGTGATCAAGTGACACCTAGAAACACAGCTGTAGGAGATAACTTGCTCTTTTTAATTCTTGGAGCAACGGTTGAGACACAAGTGTGCTTGTGCTCCTAATGATTAAATATCACATTACTTTATGTTTGAGTGATAGGTATATTTGCTCTTCAACACTGGTTTTAATGGAATTACTTACAGATAAGAACTCAGTACAAAGACAGGTTCTTGTTGCTGAAAATTGTTCTCGATTAGTCATGGAAGAGATTTTCAGGTGTGCAATAAACACTGAGGAAAAGACAATGATTCCAAACTATAAAAGAAAAAGATTTTGACAATACTAAATATTACATTTATATATCGTTTTTTTTCTTTTTGCTACATAAATTTACACAGAATATATGCAAATATACATACAAAGCAAAATGTAGTAGCAGTTTTTAAATAAATGTGCATTTTATGTAGAGTATTATTGTTTTCTGTGTTCTTGCTCCTTATAGAGTAAATATTGGCATATCAAGCTGATATCAGCTGTTTTGATGAGTCTGGCTTTCTGCTCTGGCAGCCAGCCTACAGACTGGTACATAACTTAGATGCTGCACTTTAATATCAGCGTTGGGTATTATTCCTTCTACTTTCCACACAATTATTGTCTTTAGTTTTTAACTCTCCATTTTATTTGGTTTCTTATAAAAAAAAAAAAAAAAAAAACAGTCTGATAAAATAATGTTAAAAAAAAAATGTTAATCGAAATGGACCACCATGTTAAACATTGAGTCAGCAGTCTTATATTACTCAGGGATATAAGAGTGCTCCCTGGTGATTTCAAACAATAAAACTGGCAGAGTTTATGCAGACGTTGGATCTACATAGTATTTCACAAGTATATGGTGATTTTGATGCCAAAGCAGAAAAAAAATCTTATTTAGATCATAAAAAAAGAAGAAAAATCTTTATTTCTTTTTTATTAACTAGAGAAAGATTATACAGCATCTAGAATCTATGAAACAGCTATGGTATCAATTAAATCAGCCATAACTGAAACTTCTGCTCTGGTTCTAGCCCACGTTTTTACTCTTATGACTTTT